TTTTTTTTTTTTGAGAGAGTGTGAATGAATGGGGGAAGGGCCGAGAGAGAGGGGTTCAGAGGATCTGAAGTGGGCTCTTCGCTGATAGCAGCTAGCCCAACGTGGGGGGCTCGAACCCACAAATTGCGAGATCACAATCTGAACTGAAGTCAGATGCTCAACTGACTGAGTCACCCAGACACCTCCTAGGCACTTTAAAGAAGATACTGTTCTAAGCCTTCTGGCTTTCATGGTTTCTGTTGGTCGGTTATCAGTCTTATCAGGCTACTTAAAAGTAAGCTGTCTTTTTTTAGTCTCTGGCAGCTTTTAATGTTTTTGTATTTGATTGTTAGCAGTCTTCTGTGGTACACTTGGGTATAGTTTTTCTTTTTCCTTCTGGGGTTCATAGGGCTTTTTGAATCAATAGTGATGTCTTTTATTGGTTTCGGGAAATTCTCAGTCATCATTTTTTAGCTATTGCCTCTGCCCCATTCACTATCTCCCAGGGATTTCATTTACAGATACATAGGGCTTTATTATTTACCCTCTGTGTTGTTCTGTCTTCTAGTCTCCCTCCCCATATTTTTGTGTATCTTTGTTTCTTTGTAGATATTTTTTTCTGATATGACTCCCATTTCTGTAATTTTCATTCATCTGTGTGTTTCTATTTTATTCTAAATAATTTTTTTATTGACTATTTTTTTGTTTCTAGAATTATGTGGTTCTTGTTCACATTTTCTGTGGCCTTCCTTACTCCCCACCCCAGTTTCTAGTTTTCTGCCAAAGTTCCCAGTCTTTTTAAATAATCCTTATGTACACAGTACTTATAGTTACTGTAAAGTGTTTAATAACTTTACCATCTGGAGGCCCTGTGACCCTGTTACTTTAGGCTACTACTGTTTGTCACTTTTCAGTAGATTGGCCCAAGTCTATGAATTTCACTTTAAATATTGCTTTGGTTGCGTCTTACAGTTTTTTGTATATACACATTTTCTCATTCACTAAATATTTATTCATTTCTCTGTTTTTATATCATCAGGACTATTCACATGCACATATTTTAGTTTCTAAATAGATGGGAAGTTTAAAGCTATCTTTGTAGCAGATGTCTAAATTTATTGTATTATGAAAACATGTTGTTTTTGCTCTTGTGACTTAAGATTTTTTCTTTTATTATTCAGAAATACCCTCACAATGTTTATAGATGTACTTTTCAAAATTTGTCTTCTTTGGGATTCAGTGGACTCCTTAAATTCATGGATGTGTATGTTTATTTTGGGGAAATTCTTGCCTGTTATTCTGTTACCACCCCCACTGTCTTTTTAAGATAATTTTTGGCATTCTTATTGAATAGATACTGGAATATCTACATCTCTCCTTCATATATCAACTTTTTCTTGTATACATTTTATCATTTCATTTCCTTGTGATATTCTGGATCATATTACCCAAGGAATAGTCCCTTATACAGAGAGCCACCCCCCTAAGCTTTAGGCTTATGATAATAGTGGCAGTAATGGATACTTAAGGGTCTCTAGCCAGTGCTGTTCCTCATTAACCCCCATTTGGTTGTTGACCTTCAGTACTTATTTTTTACTCCTGTGTTTGAGATAATTTTTTTCATGTCTTTCCCCCACTATTTTCTATATATGAAGCAAGTTTGTGGGGGGGGGGGTGTACTAAAATCTTGTAAGTGTATAGTAAAACTTTCTCTAACAGGACCAACCTAAATTTCTATCTTCTGTGATGGCCTGGGGAGAATTAAAGAGTTAAGCCAAATAGAAAATCGATAAACCCCTTCTTTGGAATTGGGGAAGCAAACAGTGAGTCCCTGCATTTCCAATATTTTCTGGGTCATATCTCTCTGAGTTAGGCAGAGTGACAAAATGACTTCCAGCTACTTAGAGATCTTGGCATCCTTGCTGGTGTATTGGAATTCCCAGCTAGCCACAGACCTAGAATTGCCCCTTTAGTATACAATAGAGGCCAGAGCAGACAAGCACAACCAGGGGGGACAAAATCACAGCTGTCCCCTGAACAGATTTGGAGGGAGCCAGCTAGACTTCCCACCTGCTTAACTATCGAGGCTGGCCTTGGTCATTTTTGTCCCCTCACTATAACCCCACCCACATTTTACATCTCCCATGTTTTGGATTCCACTTACCTATATTTTGGCAAGAATTTATTGTACTTTTAAAAAGTCACGTAAGCATAAATTACAAGTAAAGCCTGCCTCTGACAAATAGCAAGTTACATTTCTGTGGAACTCGCTACTCTTCCTCGCCAGTAAGCTAACTTTCCAACTGTCCTGAAATGGTACAGGTATCTCTCTCTCTCTCCCTCTCCCTCCAGCTCTCTCCCTTTCTCGTTCTCTCCCCCCCTACCTCTCTCCTTCTCTATCTCCCCCTACCACACACACAAATACACACAAACGTGTGCAAATATGTGTATACTTACACCTAGAGATATAATCATACATAAGACGGTGTTTCTTTTTTTTACATAAATGCCATTACACAGTATGTATCATTTGGCAACATTGTTTTTTAATTTAACTTAAAATTGACTGCAGGTATCTAAAATTCTGGTTCATCTGTTACGTTTACAAAATTGATTATCATATACCACATTTTATTTATTCATTCTTCACTCTCCCTCCCATTCCCAACGCCTATCTGGGTACTTTTGAATTGTTGCCACTTACCACAGTGCTGCAAAAACATCATTAGACTTGGCTCCTAATAAACATGGAGCGAATGTTTCTCTGAGGATCAGATATTTCCCCCTAGAGTTAATTTGAAATTATAAGAGATTTTTTACTCATGCCTTTTCCGTGCCTGATATGTGTGCCCTTGTTGGCGCTTACATTTCTCTACTAGCGTGTGCAAGAAAGTAGACTGTGACTAATGCCACTCGTTCTCTTAGGAATACATGGTCCCGTATTCACCTTGGATTAATTAATTGCCTCTCTGTGGTGCATTTCCTGGTGTTTCTGTTACAGAGCTCTTTAAGTACAGATTATTTTTAAATTGTTCCACTTGTAATGTCTAGGAAAGATGGTATTTCTTTTCCTTTATAGAGCTAACATCTAAATTACGTTTGAAAATGTTAGATGCTTTTGTGAATCGATCAGGGTAACCCGATTGATTCCTGTTTTCCATTCTTCTTTGAAGGGACAATGTTCTTAGGTTTTCTTTTCCTCATTCCCTTCATTCTGTATTTGTCTACTCTCTTATATCCTGTTCTTTGGTAACGTACTGGGATATTCCCCCCTTCTTATAAGAGTATTAGGTTACTAGACTGAATTTCATTTACACATTAATTAAAGATTCGTTTTCCTCTTGTTCCCAAAGTTGAAACACATACAGCAGGAATTGCTCATGAAAGTCCAGGTTTGTATTCTTTCACTAACTAGTTTTGTGACCTTTCGGCAAGACTTTGGACATTTATTTAAGTAATCTACAAAAAGAGAAGGCTTGAATAAATGATCTTCAGGCTTTCTTCCAGAAACTTCTTTAGTCAAATTCAAATGTGTAATTTCATGTTTAAATGGTGAGGAACTTGAAGAAATTATTTATTGCCTTTGGTATAAGCTTATTTATGTGTGTTAAGATTTTTGAACTGTAAATAAACATATATAGAATAGATTATAAGGTATTGAAAGCATATATTTTGTTTTATAGGTGTTTGTTGTGTCTTGCTGTTTTAAAATTACATCAAAATGCCAATAAGACCAGATCTCCAGGTATGTGGTCCTAAACCAAAAGGAAATATTTTAATTCCTAAAATCATTTTGGTTTATTTATAAGTGTCAAGTGCTATATTTTTAGGAAAGACGAAGCCTACTTCTTTTTATGAAATGGTCAAGAGTAGAATAGTTTAACATTTTTTAACTAAAAATTTTTTTTAATATTATTTACTTTTGAGAGAGAGGGAGAGCAAGCGCAAGCTGGGGAGGGGCAGAGAGAGGGAGGGAGGCACAGAATCTGAAGCAGGCTCCAGGCTCAGAGCTGGCAGTCAGCATAGAGCCCAACGAAGGGCTTTAACCCATATGAACTGTGAGATCACGACCTGAGCTGAAGTTGGATGCTTAACTGATTGAGCCACCCGGGTGCCCCTCCAGAGTAGAATAATTTAAATGAAATGTTATTCTTTCATTTTTTTTGATAAATTTGTTTTCAAAACCTATTATAACTTGTGAGGTATGAAAGATGCTGGTTATTTACATATACCTTTTACATTGACAAGAATTACACAGTGATGCATATATAGCCAGTGCCTGGGTATTTTTATGTTAGGATTTAGAATTGTAAGATACTATCATTTAGGTAAAAAGTTTTAATATATGTATTTAATGTGTATGTAGTTTACCACCAAATCTGGGGTTTAGATTGTAGTATAAAAATTCCTTATTAGTGGTTTATGCTTTAGTAGTAAGGATGGTGGATTCTGTAAAAGTTAAAAAGTGCACAGGATACTAAGTGAATTCTTAAATTGTATTGACTTGTGGTTTCCAAACAGTGCTTTTGTCTGTCTTTAAGCATTTTTAAAAAACTAAACCTCATTAAGAAATTTACAGTCGGATGTGTTAGGGTTTTCTCCATGGTGTTAAGTATTAGTTACTATATAGTTTATTTCACTTCTTTTATTAATAGGGTCTTTGTCTTAAACTTAAAAAAATTTTTTTTTAATGTTTATTTTTGACAGAGAGACGGAGCATAAGTGGGGGAGGGACAGAGAGAGAGAGGGAGACACAGAATCTGAAACAGGCTCCAGGCTCCGAGCTGTCAGCACAGAGCCCAATGCGGGACTTGAACTCACAGACCGCGAGATCATGACCTGAGAGCCGAAGTCGGACGCTCAACTGACTGAGCCACCCGGGCACATCCTAAACTTTTTTTAATGTTTATTTTTTGAGGGG